TTAAGATTAATGAAGATTATATTTCAACAAATGTATTGCAAGACCAGTAGCTATTATTGGCGAACAGGGGATGTGGGGGGGGGGGGGGATAGATAAAGATAGGGAGGGGTAGATGATGAGGCATGGGGTGGAGAATAACTGGCGGGGACATTTTGAGATTAATCCAGATTGTCGCATGCAACAGACTCCAAGGCCAACGGTCATAGACAGTTATATACAAGTTGAATATCTGATGCGGACATGTCGAGATTAATCCAGATTATCGTATGGAACAAGATCCAAGGCCAACGGTCATAGACAATACATACAAATTGAATATCTAGACGTGTGAGCTCATATATGCCTCCATCATTACGAGACGCAGATTTGTACAGTAACACAATACCAAGTTCAAAGTCACAGCAGCCTCTCACAACACATACATCCAGTAAATTAGTACATCACCATTTTTATTCGACTAGCAAATGGCAAAACCATGCAGAACCTGTGATGTCGGAGAAAGCCCTGCATTTTTCAATGTTCTTTTAATCAAGGGGACACTATGCTGCACCATGTTTGGGGGGGGGGGGGTTCAAGCATATTTTGACTGCTTCCGTAACCCTAACCTGAACCCCAAACGATACCCAATCAAATGCTCAAGAAGTTGTACTTTCAAGTTGATATTTCGATTAGTACCATCCCCATTTTCTCCTCTGACTAGCAAATGACAAAACAATGCAGGACCCTTGATGTCGCCGGTAAAAGCACTGCATTTTTCAATGTTCTTTTAATCAAGGGGACAATATGCCATGTCATGTTCGGAAGTTCAAGCAAATTTTCGCTGTTTCTACAAGTGCCTGGGGATCGAAATGAGAAAACCTGCACCAACAATGTATATTTTAGCCGGTAGGTTGGGTTGTATTTGATTACCGACGGGAGAAAAGCATGTGGATTTCTTCATTTCAGTGACAGGCGGAGAAGCAACATGCCAATACATGTGCATTGTCTGCATAGAGTCACCCATGCTGACCAAGCGGTACATGTATCTTTTGAACCATTGTATTGCAAAGCCCGGCCTCTGTATATTAAATTAAATTAGGTTTTTCTGATAAAAACAGACTCTCACTCGGGTGTTCTGCCACAAGTGGGTCCACACACCAGAGCTTTATTTAGTTTGTTCTCCACCCCTCTCTATCTTTAGCCTTCTTCTTCATTATATGTTATATGATATGTTACCTTTAGAAGAATCGTATGTCAGGGTACAATTGAAGTGTAGCAGAAAAACAGACATGACCCTCTAATTACCAGAAACCTGTCTGAATTCAGACACTTCTTTTCTAGTCTATTCAAATGCGATATAATTGCCTGTTTGAGAGCCAAAGGGAACCTGATGCCTGTCTGCCTTTCAACAGAAAGATATTGATAGTGTGGAGTCTCTATGCAACTAACAGATTGTCTATTGAGAGCCAGAAGGGCGCTAACTTTGTATTAAAGAATATGCCCTTATGGCTCTATCCAGATGACATTCATACCTTTCAATGATACAATATGGCTTAGGCGAGGCGTCAAAAATATCGATACCATATATTGGCGCATCGAGGCTGCAATTACGGCCGAAGCCTGGCTGGGGCAATTATTTTTCACTTATTAGCCCAGCCGGCTTGCGCCAGGCTGGGATCTGAGGCTCGGTTTCCATTCGAAAGGCGGCAGCCGGCGCATGCTTTTGTTCGGAGACCATTATGATGACATCATGAGTTAATTGAGGGTCCTACCGCCAGCGGTAGCCGGCTGAGCTAATTTTAAAAATGCAGCCAGGACGCACAAGTGCAGTTAGCTGCCGCTGGCTGGTATATTTATTTTTGACGCCTCGCCTTACAGAGAGCACCGCGTTGATAATAAAAGTAGTCAATTATGTTTCTATCAAGATATTTCTAATTCTATTTTACCATAAAAACATATAAATAATATTAAAGACAAAATACAGTATGGAATATGGAAAGGACCAATAGAAAAGCAAATGCTTGTAAGGAATGGCCCCGAAAGAGAGAGAGAGAGAGAGAAGATGAACAATACAAGATAGACAAAATAGACACAATTTAAAGCACATCTGTACTAGTTTACAGGAGGGATTAAACCTCCCAGCAAGGTCACTCACAGGTGGTTTTCTCATCAACTCAGCTCTCAAATAACATAAGAAAAAGAGGATAATGGGGGACCAACAGTGGGGGCTGGGGTGGGGATTTGCAGTTAACAGAGCATGTATCATCAAAGCCTTAAAGGTATTACAAAGTTTTGGGAAATTTTGAAAAATGGGTGGATAGTGAATCTTTACAATTTTGATATATTTGGATGCCCCTGTGGATGTATTAAAAGCACTAGAAATGTTAGCCCCTAAAACACTTCTGCTTTCGAGAAAAATTGAATATAAAGATTTACCGGTGCTCCCGGTAAATGTTATTAAATTTCATATAGCTCCAAACAGCCGTACAATGGTAGCTGCGACCATGGAAATCTCAGAGTATGTAGTTGTGGAATATAATTACCGAACGGGAATAGCTAATCGGTCAATTTTAGTCAAGAAACATTGTTTTATAGCTTAATTAATATCTTGACCTTGAGAGGGAGCTATACAACATAAAGTGTTTATTATTAACAATTTCATAACTTTAGAGTCAATTTCATCCGCGACAACGATCAGTGAATATTGTAGGATCGCATATTCTTCCAATATGTTCATTTGAACCAAATTCACGACCCCATACTGAAACTTTGTATTACCTTTAAAGGAAAGACAATCCTGTTCCTCAATGATTTAAACCTAAAAGGTACCTCATACCAGATAACTTTATGGAGAGATATTCCCTGATTTCATCTCAGATAAAGGGGGCACAGCTTGCTTGTTTCAGTCCAATTAGACTATATGTCGTAATAGTAGAATCACAGGCGTTGATAAGTCAACTTGATTACCAGTGCTGATGGAATACCAGGGGGGTGTTTCACTAAGCCTCTTTTCAATGACAAATGACAAAAACCAGTGACAAATCTGATGATAACCAATCAGAAGCAAGGATTTCGGTAGCTTATAACAAAAACTGTCATTTGTCACTGATGACAAGTTTTGTGAAATGCTCCCCTGGTTAATTCATCAAATTAATGGATGATGAGGATGGATCAAATCCCAAAATAGAAGAGGGTGTCATTCATTTTGAAGATTTAGGACTACCATGGACAGGAAAATGCTAACAAGAATTGTTTAGAGGTGTCGTGGTTGAGTAAATACGTCATTGGACTGTGGCTCACAAGGTTCACTGTTCGAGTCCCGCTGCTGCATTAATGTCCTTTGGCAAGACGTTAATCTTCATTTGCCACACTCAACCCAGGTGATGTAAATGGGTGCCTGGCAGGATTTAATTCTTTAAAAAGCTAGAGTGCTGTAATGGTAGCCATTCTTAAGCAGGGGTATTAAATGTGGAGTGCCAGGAGTGTCAACAAGCCTTACAGATATGAGCTCTACACAAGAACTCATTGTTATTATTATTATTTGTATTCATTACACAATGACTCATACATGAACATTGCAAGGATAAAATATACCCTAATAATACAGCAAGATGAACGATGCTTCAAGATATCAGAGCCCAATGAATATAAAGCGCAGCATTTCTTAATAATGTGAATGGGGCAGATGAAAGCTAATGTTCTCAATCCAATATTCCCAGGGTTTCATGAAAGCAATGTTCTAAATGAATACACCATCCCCAGGGTTCATTCCGATGCCATGCACAGAACGTACTTTAAATCGTCATTAATGTAGACATTGCCTTAAAGCGCAGCATTACTTTATAATGTGAATGGGGCAGATGAAAGCTAATGTTCTCAATCCAAAATGCCCAGGGTTTCATGAAAGCAATGTTCTAAATGAATACACCATCCCCAGGGTTCATGCCGATGCCATGCACAGAACGTACTTTAAATCGTCATTAATGTAGACATTGCCTTAAAGGTCATCCTGTGTTTTCAATGAATGCTTGATAATACTGGGCAGCAGTGATTGCTTTTATTTGGGCAAACTACTCCGTAAGGTTCAACATCCTATTAAAGGGATCTGGTAACTTTGTCTCAGATTCTGAAACAAAATCCTGGATTTAGCTCATGCTACAATGATAATTATAAAACTTTAGGTCAGTCAGGAACCCCATTACTTTTACAAGCCGATCGCCTGTCTGATTATCAAGATATTTATGATTGAAAATTGAAATTTCATTTAGCGTTTTCCTAACGGTTTTCATAACACTACAGTCTATTTGGGAAAATGAGTATGGTAAAACCTGTCATTCAAAGATTTTTTACTTTTTTGAGGCACTTTATGATCATTTTGAAGTGCAATTTTTTTGAGGGCTTCAATAGATTTAATCTCAGATTAAACATTGTTAAACGATGCCTTTAAGAGACTCTGTCTTCTGTTTCTCCAACAATGTGCAATCTACAAAAAGTTAACCCATTGAGTGAAAATTTGTTAAAAAGTAATTGTTGATAAAATGAAATTTCAAGAGTTGAATGTCTTTTGACCCGTTGTTTACAGGAACCTGGTGGTCCCTGTGTTAAGTCTATGGCAATGAGAAAATTCAGTCGTTAATGAGTTAATGAATTTTCCATTATTAAAATGGGAATAAAGTCTATTGCATGGGAGTGAATTTATAAACAGATATCTGTTTCTGTTTAGGAGGAAACCTGGAGCCTTTATGAGCTCAAACAAAATGCTAAATCCTCAGATTATTGTGCTGTATGTGTTGGTACAGCTTAAATGCAGCATTGGTTTCATATTTTAGTATAAAAACTATTGTAAATTTACGCTCACAACGACTCACTTCCAAATCATATCAAATTGAATGAAGTAAACGATGAAGCTTTTTGATTAAAGAAAGGCACTATCAATAGAAATATGAATGATACATGAAACTAAAATAATTCATGGCTTAAATGTCAAACGGTAATTTGTAAATGTATGGAATGTTACTTACATTTTCCTGAGACTTGTCATGTGGGAGCACAGGTCCTTTGGTAAATGCTTGATGTTACATCGGTTAAGAGTTCTGAATAAGGAAGAGAGAGAGAGAGGGGGAGGGAGAAAGAGAGAGAGGGGGAGGGAGAAAGAGAGAGAGGGGGAGGGGAGAGAGGGGGAGGGGAGAGAGAGAGAGAGAGAGAGAGAGGGGGGGGGGGGGGAGGGAGAGAGATAGAGAGAGAGAGAAAGATAAAAATAAAAGAAACATGGCTGATTCATAATGAATTGTATTGAATTGATTGAATGGATTTATTGTCCATAAAAATGGAAATTCGTTGTTCACTGATACAGGTGTGTTACAAACAATGTACACAATTATACAGATTATAAAACATAATAACATAACATCAATGGCGTTACATCTAGCAATACGAGCGACGTCACACATCCAGGCACCTCACAATTCAAACATAAATAGGGAGCAATAAAATAGTACACTGGAATTGTACTTAATGGAATAGTTATGGTACATGCTACATTAGTTAAAAGTTCTGAAAGAGAGAGAGAGAGAGAGAGAACATTGTTGAGAAAGAAAACAGAGTTGATTATTATGGAATGATTATGGTTTATAACTTTATATCGAGTCTACCCATTTGCCAACTATACCTAACTGCTTAAAATATCTTATAAAGCTTTGTTCAAATGTGATGCATTAAAACCACCATAACAAAATACAGTCAAACCTGTCTATTAAGAGAGAGAGAGAGAGAGAGAGAGAGAGAGAGAGAGGGAGGGAGGGAGGGAGGGAGGGAGGGAGAGAGAGAGAGAGAGAGAGAGAGAAAGAGGATGGAATGGAAAGGCGAATAGTCACAGAAAGAAAATGACTTACATTTCTTGAAGATTAAAGGTGCCATTTAAATCTGGAAAGTCTTGGAGATTTTTAGCATCTGAGATGGCTCTAAAAATAAAACGAGCAAATATGTTCAAAAGATTTTATTGGACAAAGGCACAAAGATAGGCATCATAATCCTCCTCCTCCTCCTCCTCCTCCTCATCATTATCATCATCATCATCATCATCATCATCTTCATCATCACCACCATCATCATCTTCATCACCATCATCATCATCATCATCATCATCATCATTATCATCTTCTTCATCGTCATCACCATCTTAATCGTCATCACCATCACCCATCATCATACATCATCATACATCATCGCCATCATCATCACCATCAACAACATCAACATCAACATCATCACCTCTATCATCACCACTATCATCATCACCATTGCCATCATCATCGTCATCATCATCATCATCACCATCATCATCATCATCATCATCACCATCATCATCATCACCATCATCATCATCATCATCAACACCATCATCATCATCACCATCACCATCACCATCATCACCATCATCCTCAACATCATCACCATCATCATCATTACTTGATTCACCATTACATCTTATCACAACCAAACAAGCGATGCCTTGTTTGTGCCCCAACATCAGAAGACCTCCACCGCCATCACCAATTCAGAGTATTAATGCTTTCACAATCGTCGACATCCTCCTAATCTTCATCATCATCATCATCATCATCATCATCATCATCAATATTACCATCATCACCACTATCATTACTATCATCATCATTACTCGATTCACAAATAATGCCTTGTTTGGGCCCCAACATCATAAGACACCCACGACCGTTATCATCGCCAAGTCTGAGCATTAATGCTCTCGCAATCGTCAACATCCTCCTAATCTATCTTCATCCATCCAGCGACATCCACTGCCATTAACGTGTTGACTACTGATTTTTTTATTCTCACTGAGTTAACACAGGGATCACCCAAGTCCTGTAGCTTATGGGTTAAACTTACAGCACGGTGAGAGCCGAGAGGTTAGTAAAAGCCTTGGTCCCAACGCCCCTGATGGGATTGTTGTTGAGATGAAGTTCAGAGAGCTGACGAAGGCCGTAGAAAGCATGGTCGGGAATGTAGCTTATCTTGTTTTTGGCGAGATTCCTGGAAAAAAAGAACGAAAGGAGACAGGAAGTTGTTAAATATACCATTAATTAAACATGGACTCAAGATCCGCTCACCAATTGCAGTTGTTTATCCCATGGAACTGTGTGTATAATCACTTGGCTTGAGAAAGTCCACGACAGTGGACAAAAGCTTGCCTACTAAATGCTAAAGGTTGGTAGAACCTTTATAAACTACATGTTATCTCATAGACAAATAACAGAGTTTGTGAAAAATCTATTTGTCCTGATATATGTTTCTAAAGAATGTGACATATTCAAGTTTACATCGAAAAGTATTAAAAAAAGCCCTAATTCAACCAGTCCATCTTTAATTCTTGAGTTGTGAAAAACACACCCAAAGAACCCCATCAAATGTACAATGAGTATGAATAATTCATTTGTTAACTGCAACTTGCTAACATTCTAATTCGAAAATAGCATTTTGTGATCCCGTCATGAGGTTTTGTGCCACTACAGTGCGAGTCAAAAAAGTTTACACCTATAAAATTGCTAATTATTTTAAAAATCATTTATGAACAGTAAATTATTATACATCTTATGAAAGAGTGTTTTGTCCTAAATTGTTGATTACCATTTTTGTGTGGTATGTGTTCATGCTTGGACGAACAGGAGACATTGTTTAAGAGGGTGCAAAAATCTAAACTTTGTTTTGACTTACACGGTATAAGTACATTCATAGGTAGCAAAGATACTATAATAAAATCTTACAATGTATCTAGCCTTGTATTATTGCTGAAGGCGTACGAACGGAGTGTGTTGATATTGTTGTTGGCGAGGGAGAGGTACTGAAGTTTGGGTGCGGTCCTAAGGGGGCCCTCTGGAACCTGCGAGATGCGGTTACTATCCAGGGAAAGACGGTGGATGTCTGGGAGAGTAAGGAGTGCGTCGTCTGTCAGGTTACTGATTGCATTGTCATCTAAAAGTCTGGAAAAAGAAGTAGAAATAGTTGTTCAATATTTAACGTCAACTAACCGCAAGAACCGTGAGATTCAGTTACTATCCAGCGAAAGACGGTGGATGTCTGGGAGAGTAATAAGCGCGTCGTCAGTCAGGTTACTGATGGCATTGTCATCTAAAAGTCTGGAAAAAGAAGTAGAAATATTATTTAACAGTTATCACGTAAACTAACCACAAGCAGGAGGAAACGCAATGGCTCAGTCGGTAGAGCAGTGGTCTTGTAATCCGGTAACCCGGGTTCGAAACCAAGTCATTACCAAGTCCCTTCGAGAGGACCTAAAGCCGTCGGCCGTCTGGTTACTTACTTACAAGCATTTATGCTTTTTTAGCAGTCAGGTACAATAACCACCATCACTATATCAATACAAAAGCTGTAAAACAAATATTCATTTCTTATTTTAATTTTAACATAGCATGAGAAAACAAAGTATAGTAAAGGTTTGGAGCACTGTTTCAGTACTCATTTAAAAGAATACACCCCAACAAACATGAATAAAATTCTCCATAATAAAAATGTGATAAGATCAAGAGACAATGAAATTCAAGGAGATGTTTTGCATTATAGAAATCACTTTAGGTTACAGAATCAAGGACCTGCATTAATGTGTAACTTCAGTTACATGTTCTTATCAAATCCACACTCTACAGGCAGAAAATCATTTATATTGTAACATGGTCAAATGCAATATATAAAGTAATGTAATATTTCCAAATGGATCTTGTATCCTTTGAGCTGCCGAACCTTGCATGAAGTCGGATCATACCATATCATGGTGCACGCACATGCAAGGATTTATTGCTTTACCCAAATCATTTGGGGGCACTTCGCGTACAACATGCAACAAGTCAATTACAGGCCAAGGGTAACAGCCAGTGGGGGAATCTCCTCATCTCTCTGTCTGTCTCTCTCCCTTGCTTTCTCTTTTTCCATCTCCTTCTCTGTATCTCTCTCCCTCCCCTCCCTCTCTCTCTCTCTCTTGCTTTAATATCATTCTTTTAGCCATTTTACTTGTTTGTCTATCTCCTCATCTCTCTGTCTGTCTCCCTCCTTTTCTTTCTCTTTTTCCATCTCCTTCTCCGTATCTCTCTTACTTACTGTCTGTCTGTCTGTCCGTCTCTCTCGCTTTCATATTACTCTTTTTGCCATTTTACTTGTTTGTTTATCTCCAAATGCTCAATAAGGCTACTGTTTTCCCTCCCTAATGAAACCACTACATAACTCTCTGTATCTCCTGTTCCTGCACCCTCTATTGTCTACCTCATATTAATTTATTTTGTTACTCTCTTACCCCCCCCCCCCCTCTTCCTCTCTCTCTCTCTCTCTACTGTGCTGCACTCCACTCAATCTCATTCAAGTCTCATTATAAATCTATAAACGGCACTGTCTGGCTCTCGTTTCCTCCCTCTTCCCCTTTACTCTCTCTCTCTCTCTCTCTCTCTCTCTCTCTCTCTCTCTCTCTCTCTCTCTCTCATTCTCTAGCTCTTTCTCTTTAACCCTGTCCCTCCACTTATTTCTGTCTCTCCTACTTATTGTGTTTTAGAACTAAAAGTGCAAGACGACCCTCTCTTCTTGGCTCCTTCTAAATATAGATACGTCCTCTCACCCTCCTTTCATGTCTCCTTACCTCCCTTTCTTCCCCTCACTCTCTTCCTCCACTCTTCTTACCCTCTCTACACCCCTCCCCTTCTGTCTTCCATCTCAATCTCCTCGCTCCCTCCTAGCTCCTTCCTCCCCCTTGCTCCCCTCCCTCCTCCTCTACCTCCCTCCTTCTTCCCCCTCCCTCCTCTTCTACCTGCCTCCTTCCTCCCCTCCCTCACTCCCCCATCCCTCCCTATTCCCCACTCCCGGTGTATAATATCAGAACCAAAAGTGCAACACGACCCTCTCTCCATGCCTCCTTGAGAATGGTGTCAAGTACGTTCCCTCATCCCCCGGGGTAGGACCCGGTAAGGACCTCTGAGGGCCTGGGAGGACCGCTTATTCTCTTGACATCCATAGATAGACTGAGATCAGTCATAAATTATTCATGTTCCACAAGTTTGATACAGTCTTCAAGATAAAAGCCTTGATATGGAATTTCCGACGGAACTGTCTTAAGGTTCATTCACATATGATTCGGTGTTACTGTCTGAAGCAGTTATTTCTCCCTGTAAGTGATGAACAATTGGGAATGAACACTTATGAAGCATGACTCCATCCGTTTAGGAGGCTCTGGTATGATTGGGGGGGGGGGGGGTCTTTAACTAGTCTACATCCATAGATAGACCGGGATCAATCATAAATTATTCATGTTCCACAAGTTTGATACAGTCTTCAAGATAAAGCCTTGATATGGAATTTCCAAAGGAACTGTATTAAGGTTCATTCACAATTGGTAAACCGTGGCAGTTATTTATATCTGTAAGTGATGAACGATTGGGAACAAACACTTATGTAACATAAGTCCATCCATTAAAGGTACTATGTCCCATTTGCAGGCCCAAAAAATGAAAAAGTTAAATTCCAACTGCATTTGAAAGATAATACTAATTTAGAACTTCCCTAAAAAAGGTGGGGCTTGAAAATGTCTTCAAGTGGGAAATAACGACTATTACTTGTCAAATCGACTTTAGGGCTATAGAGCCCAAAAGTAATAGTCTTGATTTTCAGACAATTGTACCGAATGGTCATACGTTTTATGATGCGCAAAGATTCAATCAGTTTAATCTTGGCCATCACAAGAAGTGGGTTATTGATGTAGACAAATGCTCATGTACCCTTTACAACTCTTTTCATGTATGTTATTACCAAAGAAGAAAAAAAAGCCAGTCAGTCACTCAATAGTGTCTGACAGTGAAGTCTAGCAGGTAAACGGGTTTCCTTGCATAATTTGAATATGAGGACAATGCTAACGTTTAAATTTCACAGATAGGACATACATGACATATTCATAATTCCTGCAAAGTTCTACAGCATTTGAGGTTGGCTGCAAAAGGGACATAGTACCTTTAAGGAGGCACTGCATGGTATGATGGGGGGGGGGGGGGGGGGGGGGGGGACAAGTCTTAGCTAGTCTACTCATTAGAGGAGAGTGCGGGAGAATGTCCAGACATCATCTTTTTTTGTTTTCTCTCTTTAACCATGCAATTGCACGGGGATCAATAACACCAGATTTCGCAAGAGTGTTTTACCGTGGCGGTTTATTAGAGCATATAAGAATGGGTCCTTAAGTCTAGAGGAATTTAAAATCCGGGAGTCTACAGGTAAATCAGTAGGAAAATCAAAGGATTTAGAAAGACCATAGTAAAGTTCTGAGCTTCGTTTCACAAGTGATGTATCCAGCAATTTTTACTACACTTTGCTCCTTCAACAATATTCTTCATCAGTAGTGGATTGGGGGGGGGGGGGCAAACATTCCAGGGGCAGTGACATAATGAGAAAAAAAAGTTCGGAAGGGGGGGGGGGGGGGGCAGACGAAAAATCTGCATCACCACCAGTCTCACACATTACATGCAGGTCCCGCTGAACGTTTTTCAAAGTGAAGTATTATCCATCAGGTAGGGCATAAATTGGCGTGGGGTCCAGGACATGAGCCTCGACAGGGGGTCAAGGGGCTAAGCCCCCGAAAGCTCAGGGGTTTTAGGTATTTAATCACGGTTAGATGAGCATCCAGGGGCCCTCTGTAAGGCAATTGACGTGTTCCAAGGGGGGGGGGGGGAGAGAGCCCCCAGAAGCTCAGAGGTTTTAATATTTAACTACGGTCAGATGAGCATCCAGGGGCCGTCTTAGGGCCCTTGGTGTGGTCCAGGGGCAGAGCCCCGGAAGCTCAGGGGTTTTAGGTATTTAATTAAGGTCAGATAAGCATCCAGGGGGCCGCCTTAGGGCCCGTGGTGGGGTCTAGGGGGCAAAGACCCGGAAGCTCAGGGGTTTTAGGTATTTGTGACATTGGCAGGTCACTTATTTTTTTCTCCGTCTTTCTTTTTTTTTCTCTTTAACATCCTTTTTCAAAAAGAAGGGAGGTGGGGGCTAGAGCCCAGCCACTTTGTAGACCATGACATAAAGCAGGCCTTCTCAACTGGCGGCGCGCGCGCCACTCAGTCAGAGTGGCGCGCGGCTGTTCCAAAAAACTAATAAAAAAATAAACTAAAATTAAAAATTAAAGAAAGAAAAAATTAAAAAATTATATTTTAAAATAAAAAAAACTCAACAAATAAAAAAGTTGCAGTCAAAGTTGAGCCCAAAGTGTAAGCAAGCCATTTTGTTTGTGATTTTCACTTCATTTTGACATTTTCCGTGTTTATTGCACCAAAATTACTACATATAAATTAACTTCAAGTGTAGATTTTAGCCAGGAATTGTACTAATTATTTCACATCAATATGAAATTATGATTGATGTTTATGGAACAAAAAGGTGTTAGAAATGCCACATCTGGGCCTTAAAAAAAGCCCTAAAAACCACTAGCTTCCGGGGGCTTCGACCCCTGGACCCCACCCGGTATCGTCATCAAACATACAGGTTGGCACTTCAACCTCAATAAATTTTTGTTTTGGCACTTCTAATAAACTAGTTGAGAAGGCCTGACATAAAGGCTTCTAAATAAGCGTATTTCGCCTGACTGTAATTTGGGAATTTCCTATTTTATAACAACGCATAAAAAGAATGACTTACAAAAAAAAATGGAGAAAAAAATGCCGGAAAATTATGTCACAACATCAACATTTGCAAATAACTTGTTTTCGAATAAGATATATATCACCCCCCCCCCCATAAGTACGCCAGCGTTCAGGGGCTCATGTCTTCTCACCCCTATAACAAAAAAAACGGACACGCTTTCCTATTCTCGCACAATATGTCCACGATATGCGCTATATGCTATTATTATAGAGACCTCCATTGATAAATTACGTATAGGTGGCATGTGCAATGTTTATGAAATTTAATTCCTGTGAACTTTCCTTTTTCTTTGAATGGAATTGTATATGTG